AAAGTATTTTCTTGTAAAACACTCTCTATTAATATTTATTTACAACATATATTTTACAGTGTGACAAATGAGACAAAGCAATATATAAACTATAAACATGTGGTGAACGGAAACTAGGCCTACATCAGATATCATTTTTGCGTTCACATTTGCTCCAATAGCAAAAGATTTAACTCCACTGCATTTCTATGACTTTCCAAAAGACTGCCACAAATGAATTGCTCTTTTGATCTGTTTTTGTGCTAGTGAATCGAGTTTGAGTTTGAATCACTCGGAGCTGTTCCAACATAAATGACTCACTCAATTGAATCAGTTTGTCCTTTCTAACTCTAATACTGTATAAGATTTCCATTTGAACTGAAAGAATAAATCTAGGCTAGGCTATTTATTATTTTACTAAAAAACAAGTGCAATAATACTATTAAATAACTTTGTTATTTTTATTTTATTATATTTAATGAATCACTATGTGCAGTGTGAGCACCAATCCAAATCTCCAGGTGCTCCAGACTGAAAGTCTTATGTGCACCCCTGCTTATAAATATACTATGCATTTAATAATAATAATTTTTAAAAAATGTTTCAACCTTCATATACCAAAATATATTTCAAAATGTATTGTAGGGGCAAGAAGATACATTTCTAATTTTGCAGTATATATTTATTAAAATATATTCATGTTTTTAAATATACATTTAAAAAAGAGCACGAAGACCATTCCTACTGGTAGAAAATATATTTACACAAATGCATTTTTAAACATTCCATTACGAAAATTAACCATGGTTTTATTGTAGTAAAATTGCAGTAACCATGTTTTTTTTTGGCGTATTGACTACCATTTGTATAACCACAGTTTTACTACAAATACCATGGTTAAACTATGGCTAGTGTTGCAAAACCATGGTTAATTTGTGGTTACCATGGTTTAACTATAGTAGGCTAATCATGGTGTTTTGGTATTGCTTGTAGTAAAACATGGTTAATTTTCGTAAGAGATATTTTAGCAAATATATTTTTGGCCATTTTTGTATGTTTTTAAAATTATAAACACATTTAAAAAATATTGATAGATTGTCATACGGCTCCAGAATAAGTGTGTGCAGTGTTGGGGAAAGTTACTTTTAAAAGTAATGCATTACAATATTTCGTTACTCCATAAAAAAGTAACTAATTACGCTACTTAGTTACTTTTTATGGAAAGTAGTGCGTTACGTTACTTTTGCGCTACTTTTTAAATCTGGACAGGGCTTGCTTGTTTGTTTTTAAAATAAAAAAAGTTATATTTTTGGCAAATATAAAAGCCTTTTCACACCAAAAGTGAAATGAATAAGCCTCAGGCTGAAGGGAAAGTAAATTTACGTCCGTACAGTAGAATGCAGAAGAAGACATTTCAACACACTTCAGCAATAAAAAAAGACACAAATGTTT